GGTTAGACAAGTCTACAGCAGACACACAACTGGGTAATCTAACATATAGTATCACCCATACAACATTAGAGAGGATTTCAATCATGATTTTGACTGAAGTCATGTGAAGCTAGGTTACTGGAACTAACTACTGCTCACTGCTTAAGTAATGGTTCTCTCAAAAATACATAAACTCAAGATTCTTATCTTAACCTAAACTTCTAAATCTAGATTCATATAGATTCCACTTCAAAGATCAATTTCTAATCCACAGATCTAATGTTCACTTACAGATTTCTTAGGTTTCTGCCTGAACACCCTTAAACTTGAGGCCTTTTAGAAACTGGGAAAATACCAGACCCGTTAATCCCAAGAAAACTGTGACAAATCACAGCTGCCAGATTCATTCATTCATCTTATGGCACAGGTCTACAAATATGAGGGCTGTGTATCAGCCAAAAGCCTTTCTGTATTTTTAAACATCCCGTTCTGTTGCAAGCAGGGTGTTGATGGTTTGGAGGAGTATCTGTTGCCAATGTCAAGTCACAAATCTGCTTAGCTCAAGATAGATAGCAGCTAGGATAAGTGGTGAAAGGTTGGAGATATGACCATCCCCAACAGAACAATGACGAGAGCTACTTGGAGACTTTCATTCCTCTCTTTTCAATTATACATTAACATGGCTTTGGGGAAGATCTGCAACCTTATCTTTCTTGAATCCTTGAAGCATGAAGCTGGCTCAGCAATCCCTGAGTTCAAACCCAAGATGATGACAAGAACTTATTGAACTTCTGCTGCTAGTAACCATTACCATCTACTTATACTAGCTTGCTACCAGCCCCTAGTTATACCTAACTCCCCAGTTAGGCATCTGACTCACTAAGTACCCCCCAGGCACACTAATACCATCAACTTCCCCTGCACTCACCATATTTTTCCAGCCTATTCTATGCACACTCCTACCAGGAGAGCACAGCAGCCCAAGCACAGCATCATCTAACCATGACAGTGACAAACAACCTCCTTTACCGAGTATCTTAACTTCTGCAAACTAGACCCCTGAGCGAAGGAATCTGGCCTACAACCAGATGATTGCACAGGTCCGCACGCTATAAGTCGGTTTCTGATTTGCTCGTGGCAGCAGAACGATGCTGTATACTACACTACCTCCTTTCTCAGTACCGCATACTCTTCCTCTTGCTCCTGGCCTTCTCACTCCGTTGGCTATAACAAGAACTGTGAGTAGAAAAGAGGTAATGCTGTGGGGCCACTGGATGTTTCAGTCTACCCTTTGTGCAAAAAGTTTTAGAAGGAAAAAAAAATGAAAGAAGCATAAATAAATGGAGAAAGGTGAATCACGAGTAAAGAGACCACACTTTTTGAAAACATTCATCCCTTAAGTTGCTAGTTGCTGCTACAGTCACATCTTGAACAGCTCCTCAAAGAGTAATACTTTCATCAACGGACTTAAAATACTATTCCCAAGGCTATTTTGAGATTGAACTGTTAGATGCAAGCAGTCCCATGTGGTTATTAAATATAAACCATGGTGGCAAAATAGGCAATGGGTTCTAAACAAAAGAATAAATTTTATACAGTCATAGTTCTGGTTGAGGACCCCCAAGGTAAATACTGAAGGGTTACACCCAAATTTTGGGAATACTTTTGCAAATTTAAGTCTGAAGTACATAGCTCCATAGCTGCAGGGAAGGAACAGAAGTAACAAGTTCTCCTTCCCAGGCACACAGTGTAACCAACAAGCCAGGATTCTTCAGTGACACAATTTCAGAACTTTTCAAATCACTGGAGCCCATTTAACAGAAACCAAACTAGTTTTGCGACCAGTTTTTTTTTTTTTTTTTTTTTGAAGGACTGATAAGCTTATGAAATAAAAGTATATTCAGAAATAAGGCTGGGAGAGGAGTAGCAGGCCAAAGGAAATCCAGACTCAAAATATCTATGCATATCAATAACCATTGCTTCCATCCCTTGCACAGTGCTTACCACTGAGATGAAATAAAGACTTGACTGCAATTACAATTACCTTTATCAGAGCAGACTTTGATTTCATTTAGCCACAGTCATGTGAGCGCCTCCTCGGCTACCCCTACCCAATTTTGCCACCTTTCCTTCTGTAGTTACTCAGGCCACTGTCTGTACTGACCTAAGAGAAGTACTCAGCTGACCCACATGCCCTGAATTAGCTCATTAGATGTGTGTAATTAAGCCATCAGTGATTAAGTGTTCTGACCTATGAAGGGGTAATTGTAAGTACACCACCTGTATACTCTTAGCAAATTGAAAACACTGGTATAGCACCCGTCATTCAAAAATTTGAAAGCACCCTGCAGCTCTTGAACTTGCAGTGACTGCAGGTGCTACTCAAACTTCACTGCTAGCCTGATTTGGGAAGAGTTAGAGCTTCAGGTTTTTGAAGTGGGACCTCTCCATCTCTGACCTTATTTTATCTAAAGGCCCTGGTGAGCTACCTAGGTGCATTAAATAATTCCCCACCCGTTAATCTGAGCTAACAGTAAAAAGACTGACATTTTGCCCTACTCTTTTGCAACACCCACACGGCACAAGCCAAGGCTGACAGAACAGTGATATTCTGTATTTCCTCCCAACAGCAACGTTTCTTTAAAATGCAGACCTATTTGCTATATAACTCAATGACTGATTCTAAGTTGCAACCACTTCTATAATAAAAGGATTTCTATGCAACAATTTACATTCTATAAAAAGAAAACCCACTTGATTTTCAGTAGGATATAGCATTGGCAATAAAGTATAAAAGCAAAATCTCTTAAGGAGATTAAGAGCTGCATGCTGAATTATTTCAATGAATATTATTCCTGTACATAAGCATCTGATAAGTTACCAAAGATCCTTTCTCTTGCACTCCCCAGCTTCCAAGACTACCTAAGAGTATTGTTAGCTGTCGTCTCAGAAATCTTTTTTAAGATAGGTGGCAAGAACTGCCCTAAAATCAACAAGAAAAGAGAAGGTTAACACCCACTGATGAAAGTTTTAGCATAGAAGGCTAGTAACTCTGAGATCCGGACTATGAAAGATTTAGTTTCTAGTTACTGCTACATTATTAATGTTGGAGATGAATTACAAAAA